CACGGGAATGCTGGGCAGAGTGAAAGGCAGAGGTCTTGACTTTTGCATTTTTTACTTTCGAGAACACAGCATTCTTTCACTTTATGGTAACATATTTTTATTTTGTGGTCCTTGATGATTTCTATGCCTGCCCTTAATCGGGCATTCTCTGACCAATTTACCAGTGCTGGTTTTGGTCCTTAAGCAGAAGTACTTCATTACACCCATTACTACTAAACCTCATCTGAGCTTCTGCTTTGAATTCTCGCATGTTTTCTGAAGCATCAGTAAACCCACTCAGCTGGAACTGTATAGAGCCTGAAAATACAACACTTCTATTCTATTTTCCAAACCACTGAAAATGATAGTTGAAACCCACGTGGGAAGCTGAATCCTACCAGGGCTGCTGCAAGCCCATGGTGCACCTTTCTGCAAATTAGAAACAGGCGCCCCTCCCTCAGGCCAGGGCACAAGGAGTGAGAACCAGGGCAGGCTGGGTGTCAGACCCCACTCGCCCCCGCAACTGAGCCCTGCTGTGCAAAGGTGACCTACCATGAGTTGTGTTACAAAGACCCTTTTCATCTTCTTGGGCTACGTCTCCGTGAGCTAGGGTCTAGTTTGAGCCTTTTGTTGGGCACATGAGATAAAGGGAAAACCAAGTAACAGCCTAGAGAAATATTAAACTCAGAATAAAATAGCAGAGTCAGATAAACCTGAATTTATGGAGGCAGTATATTGTATTTAAAAGCCATGGAGTTGGACAGAAATGGATTTTGATTCCAACTTGGCAACCTCCTTGAAACTTCATTTTTTAAAAAATCTGCAAAATAACAATAATACTATATATCATAGAATCTAGACTACATCAGTTATAAGACTCATTCTCATTACAGAGATTTTTAAAATGCAAAAACATGGCCAAGTGGATGGTCAAATGTTTCCTGATTTCAGAGGTGTTGAGACTGTAAAGTTTGTGTATGTTAAAATCTATGACATATGGCCACACCCCTTTCGAGGTAACGGCTCTTCTCTGCGAGGGTTAAGTGACAGAATGTGTGTCAAGTTCTCAGGGCGGCACAGTCAGTGCTCAATGAAGCTGGTGTGGGCGACAGCAGAGTAACAAACGGATATACTGATTCCTGTCTCCACAGCCTAGCAAGATGATCTGGGTGTGGTCTTTCCCTTATGCAGGGTAAGATACTAGAAGCCAACGTGCACGAAGTAGGTCCGGAAGTAAGCCTCAGCAGAAGATTAAAGTACAGAAGAAGCACAAAACTGAAAAATGGCCCCATGTATTCTTCTGATAGAGACCCAGATCCGAGTCATGATTTTCTCAAATCCCAAATGTACGAGAGAAACATCTTTTAAAAGAGTACAGTTCAAATGGTGGGTTGTGGGGGGTGGGTGTGTCCTTCTTTGAATATGGAGTAGGAGAAATAAGACTTCCAGAATGCTCTGTTAGCTTTTCTAGTGTTTGGGTTTTTTTCTTTACCGCTCATTAACAGCCACTTCTATTACATTTCCTGTGAGTTCTGAAGTGGTCACTGCCGGGCTCTGTGGTGAAAAGCCTTCTGTGTGGCGTCCTGTGTCCTGTGTTTTTGCTGACGCCTGGAGGGGTCTGCGGAGGATGAAGAGCTGCCAGGATGTGTTCATCAGAGTCTTTCACCTGCCTCCCAAGCATCTGGTTCCTGGACTGGTTGAGGGGGCTTTGTGCCAAAGAACGGCCATTCATCGTCCTTTGTTGCAAAAGACAATGCTGCCGGGGTAGAACACTGATGTAGGAAAACCAACGTCAGGATTCCCATAAGTAAAAAATGGCTCGGTTTCTGCCACTGCCCCTGAGGCAGTCTATTTCTTTTCCCACAGCTTGGGCTCAGTGGCACTTTTAGAGGTAAGATGAATGGAGGTAGGGGGATCTGTGAACATGTCTAAAACATACCCCATGTGATGGAAGACAGCCTAAATGCTATTGTGTACAGGACAAGCAAATGCAATGAACATGATTCTCTCTTCCAAAACAAAGACTTCATTGTTTTTCACATAGATCCTGAATTGCTTAGTTCTTCCTGATTTCAACTTGTTTCAACATCAGGATTGATGTAAACAATGTACAGAGAACAAAAAAGGAGACTGTGGCAAGAATTTCATCTACCTAGTTTGGGCTGGCTTGTTGTAAGAAAAGGAAATAATATAAAAGATTTGGTTGACTGAAGATGCCATGTAAAAATTAGATATTATCTGGTCACTCCCGAATAAATAGCCTTGAGGGGTTTAAAAAATGAAATTCAAGTGACAGCTCTAGATCACAATTACCAGAGAAAAATCAAATTGCCTGAGAAGACAGTGGCAGCCTGAACTCAAAGCATATGGACTGGTTGATGTGTAATTCACAAATACAGCTTCTACTTCCTCTCTGCTGGGCAAGCACACGTGCGTGCCATAGCATCTCCCTCCCGCCCTGGGGTCCGGAGGCGCGATGTGGCTCAGTCTGGGAACGGAGCTGAGTCACCATCCCACGCATAGCATGGTATATCTGTGCCATGCTCCCACCTCCTGACTCTTAGATTCACTAAAGTACTTGTTGGGGAACAAAAATTCCACTTGATTTAATTTCTCCCCAGGAAAAACACACTCAGTAATGTCACAAAACTCTTGAAACCAGTTTCCTTCAAGGTTGCCTCAGAAATTTTAAATATGTGTTCCACCTTGTACCTCCTTAATCTTAACCTCCTGCCTGAGATGCAGTGATGGGATGTCTACTCCCCATGGCCAAGCACCACTGAGTGGCTGGCTGAGTAGTGGGGCTGGGCCTCAGCGATCCCCTCACCTGGGTACCCCTGAATGGACAGCACATTTGAACGATGGGTGGCCAGGAGATGGGTCTTTGTTTACTATTTGCATAAAGTGAAGTTAAGAGTGACATTGGTTTTATTTGCACCACTGAACTAGCAGCCACTTTCTAGTTACCAATAAATGTTTGAATCTCAACGTTGGTATGAACCCTACTTATTATTATTCAGAAAAAAACAAAGGTCTGCTTGCCCAGGGCCTCTTCTAGTCTATCCAGACCCTTGGTGCGTGAATTATAGACATCCTCTCTGGGAGAACATTCCAGTCCCCACAACCCCCACCCCTGCTCTGGGCAGGGCACAACCTGAGCAGCTGGAGTGCAGCCTCCGAGTGGCACAATCCCAAGAATGTGGCAAATTCGATCCATCAACATATGGATCCAAAACTATGCACCAACGTATGCACCAAAATGACGGCGAATTTAGTATTATTTGTGACAACAATCCATTGTACTCAGAGTGAAAAACTAAGTCTATTTGTATAAGCCATTGGTGCCTTCCACCATTAATCTATTTCATTAGTGTGGGAACAGTTTTGTTTTGGTTTAGAGAGTTATTTTTCAAGAGCAAAAACTTTATGTCACTTTCTAGGGAGAAACAGTTCAGAAAAGGTGTTACCCTCTTTTCTCCCCAAGGATGAAAACAGACCATTAGATCCTTCAAGTCAGAAGACTCTGACCTGTCAGCTCTGGACCCATGGAAACCTGCTTCCCCTTCCCTCCTTATTGGTTTGGGTCACTTGACCTTTCTGAGAATCAAATCACCTATGGATATTAATCTCTGGAAAAATACACACACTCCTGACCCCTAATTTCTTTTCATGTATTTTAGGGGGCTTGGGAATTCAGGCCAAGAAAGGAGTTTTACACAGGATTTTAAGAGAAACCAACTATACTGAAATAGTTATCAAAATTCTAAAAATTTTTTGTGATATAGTAATATTTCTGTGCTTTTATATAAATGCATTAAATAATAAGATCTACTGGTGAGTCTAATAACTACTGTAATTTTGAAGTACTGATGAGTATAAAAGATATTTTATGATGTCTGCCAACTGCGCTGTGAAATGAAAATGTCTGTAATTTCCACTGGTGACAGGTGCTGCTACTTCTCCTGCGGTCTGCTGCCGACATTCATCGTTGGCGGTAGTGCTAAACGGCACTTAGAGGTTAGTGAAAATAAAGGTGCATTTTTTTCCCCCCATCCAAGATCCCAGACCTTAGGTCAAGAACCTCTGAGACTCTAGAGATTCTTGACCTGGTGCTGGGCATGGCTCAGGGCCTGGCGGCCTCAGTTCTTTTTGTTCAGGCCACGGGAGAGAACGTGGGGCTCCCGTTTCCCCAAGCAAAATTACCTGAGGCTGCTGTGAGCTTCTATACTCTAGGAAGAGCCAGAAGAGACATTCATAGTGGCTTCTGTCCTGCCCTCACTTATGAGGGGAGAAAGGTGAGGACAAGAGGGACACAGCTGTGACCAGGTAACTCCTGCCTTCCCCAGCACAGAGACAAAGCCACAAGGGGCACCTCTGTGAAGCTGCCTCAGCCTGGGAGACAGGTTTCTGTGTGTCCTCTAGCTTAGGGGGAAAGAAACATTTTCCTCTCACTTTAACAAAGATCTGAGAAATACTTTTATAGAGTTTGCCTCTTGCCTTAACCTCACCTTTCCAGGGATGCTCACCTAAGTGGGAGCGCCCTGCTGGGCAGCCCATGCCCTGGGAAGGCACAAGGACTCCTTTTTGCTTCTCATCCTCTTACTGGCTTACTGAGGTGCTGAAAAATGTGCATCTGGGCCAAAAATGCGAAGTATAATCTCTGGGAGGTGTAGAAGCGTCCCCCCCGCACTTGAACATGTGAAATGTCTCTGTAATCGCAGTTAACGACCGGTTGAGCTATTGCTGGAAAACAGCCCGGGAAAAGCAAAGCTTCCTCATTGGGATGCTAGGACACAGGCCTGCATGAAGAGGAAAAGTTCAAGTTCTAGACAAAAGAAAGTGCTTTTTCTGATGGATGGTAGGAGAGATGACAGACTTCCAAGGAGAGGTGCTCTCAAAGCAGCATCCTGGGCAGAGCGCTCCTAAAGTTCGCCCTCCCGGCTATTTGGAGGCACATCATGACCTGATTTTCACCAGGAAAATGGCCTGTGAAAGAGGCTCACAGAATATCACCTGCTTACCAATTTTACTTCTTGCTTCATTTATGCTTTCTCCCAGGGCCTTTGCTTCAGAAAATCTAGAGGGGGTAAAAAAAGAGAAGTGAGGGCTTAACTTCTCTGTTTACTCTATATTATGCTTTAAAAATAAGAGATTTCCAAGAGGTCTCTAAAACATTATAAAACTTCACTGAAAGACGTAAAAGAAAATGTAAATAAATGAAATATATTAGGCTTAAAAGTAGAGATAAATTTGCATTAATTACTGGTATCGTGAACTTCCGCTTGTCTCTCTAGCAGAGAATATCTTTCTCATATTCTCTGACTTGTGACGTTTGATTTTTAGCGTTTTATGATACAGTCGTTCTGGAATACAGCACGGCTGTAAGCCTTCTGTACTGTGCTGTTAATCATAGTACCAAGATCTTATAGTTAGAGAATCCTTAAAGGACCTTTTTTTTTCTGATTTTTTATTTTTCGATCAGTAAACTGTGGCTGGTCATGAGACAGACTCTATAAAGGAAGTCGTATCTGGGACACAGCCGCACTCATCTGCTGACTGTGTGCAGCCGCTTTCACACAGCTATGGGCGGAGCTGTGTGGATGGGACAGAGACGATATGGCCTGCAAAGCCGAACACATTTACTATGTGGCTTTTTCCAGAAAAAGTTTTCTTACTCATGTTATATCTGATGTTAAACCACAGTTTGAAAATACAAAAACAAGAAAAAGAGTCGCTAATTATCCTCTATCCAGAAGTAAGCACATTTTGAGATCCATCCAGTCTTTTTTCTATCCAGTTCGTATAGGGTTAAGATCAGACCGTATATCTGATTTTGTGCTTTGATTTTTTTTTTCACTTAGCATTTTAAGTCCTTTTCCTACATTATTAAAAACTTCTCCATTATCTTAGCTGGCTGCCTACTAGTCCAGCAGATGGTTGTGCTGATGTTTACTTAATGAGTACTCTGTATTTTCCAAAAGGTATTCGTGACACCCTTGAGACCCAGCCTTGTGCTGGAGAAGAGATGTAGGAAGTGGCCTCTATGAAAAACACACAGTCCTGTCCCCGACGCACAGTGGGCCCTTAGGAAGTGTTAGTTGTTTTTTCTTCTTTTTGCCACAAAATTTAAGAGGCACATGAAAAGCTATGAAACGAATACATAATATACAGTTACAGTAAATCACTGTGCTATTGTGGAGAACACTGCCCATGTGAGTAGAGTTTGACCTGGGAGGGGCCTGTCCACGAGTGGGGAGTCCTTGGGAAAGCTCCACGCACAAGGTGGGATTGAGCTGGTTTTATGGATGCATAGAGCTTTTAGAAAGCTTTTTATTATGGTAATTCCCCACAATTCACAAAATAGAATAATAGGATGAACCCACCATGCTATTTCATTAATTGTCAACACTTGGCCAATTTGATTTTAACTATCTCCTCTCTTCCCCTCTCCCAAACCCCCAAATCTTTCTTGGTCCCAGTAAATCCCAGATGTTATATATACTGTTTTAAAACATTTCTTTTTATCGACTTACAGTCATTTTACAATGCTGTGTTAAATTCCAGTGTAGAGCACACTTTTTCAGTTATACATGAACATACATACATTCATTGTCACAACCCAGATGTTTATATTGTTTCCTTCATAAATGCCTCAGTTGCATAGGGTTTTGTTAGAAGAAGTAGGGAGAAGAAGGCATTCTAGGCAGGGGAACAACATAAGCAAAGGCCAGAGTGCCATGAATGCTCTGGGCTTGGTGGAAAAGAAGTGTGAATTATGTCACTGCTATTTTCCGAATGTGTCTGCTTGGCGTGTGACTGCAGACAGGAAGTTTCCAGGGAAGGGGGCTAAATTTTCTCTCAGTTTTAGATTTCTTGGGACTCCATCCCTGGCTCCTTATTAAGGGTGTTCAGGCTCATGGCAGATCATGCATACCCTCTCTTCAGCTGGGGCTTGTCACCTTGCAGAGAGCAGTGCAATCCCTTCGGATGCCACTCAGACTGAATTCAGTTCAGCAAACATTCCTATCACACGCAGGTCACAGTGCTGGGCTCTGGGGGCTCATGCTGACCTTTGTCTACTCAGTAGACAGAATCTGAGGTTGATCCAGGCCACTCAGATGAGTGGCTTCATGCCTTCTTCATACTTTAGGTTCTGCCAAGTGGGGGACTCTAATTGTTTGATGGTCACTGTCCATCCCCAGTACCTAGGATTTCAAAGGGTTTGATAGTCCTTCATTGCTCAGTGAATGACCCCTTTCACTGCCTGCTCCACAGAGTTCTGGAAGCTTTAGATTCTTGGGAATACGGAAAATACAAGAGCAAGGCTGCAAAGCTGCTGAAATTCATGTCAATGCTAGAGGAAACTAGAGCAGAGCTAGAGAGGGGAGATCCTGCCGGCAGGGTGGGCCGTCTCCACTGCTCAGAGAAGCCCGACAGGCCTGCGATGGAGCCCCTCCCGCGGCGCAGCAGTGCCCAGATGTGCTGGGGAAGGCAGAAAAATGGCAGGGGAGCTGCCCAGTGCTGTGGTCAACACGCTCTCAAGAGCTGCCCTACCCCAGGGCTGGCAGACACTGCGGGGGAAGCCACGAGCTGTTCCAGTCTCTCCTCTGCAGCCAAGGCTGAGCTAAAAAGGGCTTTCCCACTGAAGAGGTGTGGGCTGAGAGCTGTCCCGTCTCAGTGAGACCATTTTCCCTTCACTCTGCGGCTGTCACCACTCCAGGCCACCCCACCCACGTGTTTTCCTGATCTCTGGTTGTCAAGACAAACTCTTGCCTAAGGAAGCCTAGCCCTGAGGGAGAAAGGGTGGCGGGTAGAGGGCGCGGGAGAGATGAGAGAGAAGCCCCGCACCTCTGCCCCTCTTCCCTGCCCGTCCGCAGCTCCACACCTCCCAGCCCATCTCCCTCAGCCCATGCCCTCCCCTTCCTCCTGCCCCAGCCTAAGTTCTGATCTTCTGGATGGGGAGCCTCCTGAGTCCTGAGCTTGAAAAGGGGCACATTCCAATTAGGGACATGGCTCAGAGGAACAACTGGTGTCCCAGGTGATTGAAGCCGCACTGCCCTCCTGGACAGCCTCCTAGGCCACTGCTGGCTGTGGAGGAGGCTGCACCTGGAGGAGGGATGGGGGAAGGCTCCAAGACTCAATCAGGACCCTTGTGAGCCCCCTTGTGAGGGTCTACTACTCCTGGTGCCCATGCATTTCTATTGGGGACTCGCACTGCATGGCTCAATCTAGGGAGTGCGGCAGGGCTGAGGGCAGTCCCAGTGTGGGGGCTGACCGGCTGCTCTGTTCACCTGCACAGAGAAATCTCCACCTTGGGGCAAGTCCTGGGTTTGGAAGGGAGAAGTGTCCTGGCTGTCCCTTCACAAGCCTGGCTCCTGGGACATCCAACCTTCACCCATCCAACAGCACCCACCATGCGCCAGGCACCGTGCGTGGCTCTGTCCGCACAGGGAAAACAAAATAGAGAGAATAATAGAATGAACTCTCACATACACACCATTGTATTTCATTAATTGTCAACACTTGGCCAATTTGATTTTAACTCTCGTCTCTTCCCATCCTCTCCCCACCCTGCCAGTTCTCTTCCACTGCCTCCCACGGCACATCACCTGCCTCCTTGTTTCAGCTCTCTCTTCTCAGCTGCTGCTTCTCAGGCTCCCTGTTCCTCAGATGGTGGTCATTGCCAGGGTCTTGTTTTAGGCTCTCCCCTCACCTCACCTGTTCTCTCCACACATTCCATTCATGCCAGTGCCTTTATCTGCCATCTCCACGGACACCTCCCACATCTCCATCTTGGTCCTGCTTTATTTCCTTCCCCGCACTATCCAGCTGCCTATTTGATGCTCTGCAGATTACTAATCCATTGTGTCCAGAGCAGAGTTGATGACCTCCCCTGAAGATCTCCCTACCTTCCTCCCATCCTTCCTCCTCTCACTTCAAGGCGCCGATTCACCCATGTGCTCACGCCAGTAACCTGCACACTATCCCCTGCCCCTCTCCCTTAGCCCCTGCACTCAGTCCTGGGACCTCGCCCATTCTGTGTCCTCAGTACCCACCCTAATCCCCCACCGAGCTTCACCCTACTCTGCCCTGAGAAGGAGTTGCTGTCTCTCCCTCAGACCACTTCAGAGACTGCCTACCTGGTCCCCTGCATTCATGCTACCTGCCTTTGGGCTCTTCCCCACATTTCAGTCTTTCCTGGTCTTCTTGTCTTGGACAATTAACTCAATATGTTGATTATTCATAGAGTGGACATCCAATACCCTTCCGCATCAGAAAGACCTGGCCCCTGACAGGGTACCTTGGCTGCCTCTGTCACATTGTGATGAAGACCCATCTTTCATTTTCCTTTACACTTTTTAAAAATGTCGACATCCCTTCTGTATTGGCTCCCCCATCAAGATGCCTGCCCGCTCTCATCTCCTCCTGAGCGGTTGCTTCCCCACGTCTTCCTACTTCTAGGGTGTGTTCTCACGCAGTCTGCTTGGTTGCTAAGATTTCTTAAAGTCAATTTCAAATTGTCATTCTCAAGCAAAAAAAAAAAAGAGGTGTTTTTTGAGTAGCATTTTTGTGGCCAGCACTGTTTTAAAAACCGTGGGGAGGTTGAGAAGATTCTAACCTAATCTCTGCTCTCAGAGTTCATAATTCTAGTTCAGGAGACAAGATGTAAATACCAAAAAACAGAAGAGAAAAATAATAAAGGTTAAAATTGCAATCTAATAGGAACCAGGGCATGGTCGTTATTTCCAGATGGTGCCACAAGATTTCTTGCCACTCCCGCTCCAGTTTTCCCGTTGGTGTTAGATTGTTGCTCTATTCTCTGTCTGAAGGATCCAGCTGAGTGGAAGGGGGCTTTGCGTGGTTTAGTTCACATTATCAAAGCCTTCATTTCCAATTGCAGCTAATCTCCCCATTTATTTATTCTTTTGTTATTTAATGGGACTCTGTGACAGGGGATTCAGTTTGTAGGAAAGAGCTGCCACAAAAGAAAGTTAGCTGTGTGGTGCCAGGGCCCTGGAATTTGCCAAGCGTGGCACTTCCAGCCTCTCTTCACATTATTATGTACTATGAGGACGAGTCATGTCTGAAAAATGCAGTGATTCTGAATTGTATTTCTACTTGAATTGTCTTCTATTGAAAAATCCGGCTTAAGAATTGGCTCATGTGCCCTAGTTCACCGAAGGGCAAATATTCTCTTAATGTGCCAACATCTTGTTTCTGTTGTCACAGGCAGGCAGCACAACTTTCCCCAGACTGGGGGCCAGAGCTGAGAGATGCTGGAAATCCCTGTGGGGCAGCAAAGGATGCAGGCGAAAAGGGGAAGGAATCCCTTCTCTTAAGTAGCACTGATGTATGAGCCGTTGATCGCCCCTCCTGCAACTCTAAATCATCTCCTGCACTCTGGGGGAGCTGAGGGAATTAGGAGGGATCTGGGCTGCCAGGAATCCCTATATTTGGGCTGAGAAGCTGAGCTGGCCCAAGGCTCAAGTGTGGAGGTAATTAATCCTCAGCCCCTCTTTCGTGGACTTTTCTAGCATGATGACTCAACATCAGAGCCATCAGACAGCAGAGTTAGTTACTTGATGTGAGAAGTAGGAAATAAAATGTGAGTCCAGGCCAGTGGGTCCTGGTGGCTGAGGGCTATTAGAAAGGTGAGACTTTCTAAGAAGAAGCAGAGTTAGGAAACAGTGATTCAATGTCACCCCTCTGGTGCGTGTCTGTATTCCTAAGACGGGCCAGTCTTCCCACAGATGGTCCACATGGTGCTCCTGGTCTCTAGAGGGAGTGGGAACAGATGTGTGCTAGGAGCAGGGTCACTGCAGACTGTTTCCTAAAGTGATGGAGGCATGGAAGTCAGGCTTTATTTTGATGTCACTATAGGAGCACTTGTAGTTATTTGTTTTCATATAAAAACATTTCTCTTTGTCTTCTGCCATAAGCAGTTATGAGCATGTAATATCTGATAACTGAATACTCTCCCTGAATGCAAACAAAGGTTCTAATCCTGAGAAGAGTAGGTTCTGGCTTACGCTTCCCAGTACCAAATATTCCTTTAATATTTGGTAACATTAAACAGATGTAGACATTTTTAAAATGTGGGCTGGTCTCCCGACTTTTCATTTGATTTGAAAAGACTGATTTACTGCTGGGAAAACCTCTTTCTAGAGGGAAGCTTTGTGCAAGTTTCATTAATTCCCTGGCTTTATGGCCATAAGGAAGATGAGACCTCCATGATTACCAGCCCATCCTGTGTGGCTCAGATATGTTTAAACCCAGAAGCCCATTTGTTCTACGGGCTGTCAGAACTCTACTGCCTGAAGTGAGCTCTGTATTAGAAGGCTTCCAAAGACCACAGCATCCTCATCCCTGCCACCCATCCTGGCTGGAAACGCACCTAAACTCAAGGGTACAAACCTGAACCAGGAGCCACACCAATTCAAGAATAAGGAAGATTAAGTATTATGTTCTTTCTAAGCCAGTGGTTCTTAAACTTGAGTGTGCAAGAGAGTCACCCTAACCTGTGGAGTTTTGAGGCTCTTCCCTCGAGGTTCTGGATCTCAGGGTCTCTGGGCAAGCTGTCTCTTTAAGCCAGTGGTTTTCAAACCTAGCTGCATGTTGGAATATTGAAACAAATGGAAGCTCAGGCTCCACCTCATTCAATTAGAATATCTGGGGAGTCAGACCCAGGCTTTGGTAGCTTCTAGAAGCTCCGTGGGTTATTTTAATATGAAGCCAGGGTTATGAGGCGCTGGTCTAAGCTACGAAGCCTCAGGTATGGACACAGCTGAGGGCTCTTCGGAAGCCGCTGGGTGAGGCAGCTGTCATCTGACTTGATATGCTTATCTTCAGACAGACAAGGTGTCCTGCTCCAACACGTCCACCAAACTCTACTGAAAACCCATGGCTTATACACAGAGAAGCATGAGGTCTGTGAATCCCCTGGATTCATAGGCTAAAATTTGTGTAGAGGTGTATAGTCCATTCTCCCAGGGACAGAGTCCTCAGCTTCCACTAGGTTCACTTGATTTGCTCCCCGCTCCTTGTTTTACTCATCTGCTCACTCATAGCCCGCGTTCGGCTTCTCCCGCTCTTCTGTCTCTCCTTCTCGGTCTCGCTCACGGCCACCCTTCTCCCTGCCCCCTACTTTCCTTTAAAGCTTCCCCTGTGGTTCAGGCCTCCCAGCCCTTGTACTCCCATGTGTTCTCCTGATGGAGCTCGTCCCCTCTCGTGCTTCCTTGAAGCATTTATAAACATATGACTCTCGAACCTGCATCTCATTTTGGTTCAACAAAGAGTTTTTGAATATGTACTGTGTAAGCTCTGGAGTCATGGATGACATCTGGGCATTTATAGTCTAGAACTCTCTCTCGTGAACTCTAGGCACACACATCCAGCAGTCTTTCTGTTTGCTACTGTTTGAGGACATGCATTGAATTCACGGTTTAGCTGGAACAAATGATGTACCACTACTGTTTTTCTAGAGGGTCTGGGACACGGGCTTGCTTGACAGCTGGTCAGCAGGCAGTGCTGCCTGTTCTGCCTTCAGCCTGGAGGACACCCCAATGGCCTCTGGGTCGCAGGACATGCGTGCGTACACTTCCTTTGACCCAGAAGAGCAGGACTGCTCTCCAGAGCAGCCAGAAGGCCCCGAGTTCTAAGACTTGTCATTTGGTTTGTAGACTTTTTCCCCTTGCCTCTGGAGCAGTGAAATAGCAAGAGAGTCACAGGCTAATGAGAATGAACATATGAATGTAAGATGTGAGAACTGCACACACAGGGCTGTCAGTAACAGCCCCTGTTCTAACGTGGCTCACCCGACTAGGGTGATGGGGCTTAACATATGGAGGAGAACTGGACCAGGCAGGACGTAACTCCATGAGACTGCATATCCGCTGTGCCTTTCTTTCAGAGATCAGGTTGGGCAGATTAGAGAGGACAGAGTAGCAAGTCCTCTCCAGGCTGGCCCGGCTAAGCCATGGAGGACCAGCTACTCTCTGAGCCAGCCTTACCTCTGCTTCAGAATCTGTTTGTTGTCTTCAATGGTAACGCTGTCAGCGTGGTCTCTCTTGAAAATTTCAAAAGCTTCCTGGCGTCCTAACGACATTTCCTCTCTCACTCCTGTTTGGAGACACAGGGAAATGGCCTCAGTCATAGCATCAGGATCCCATTAATTTCATTGTCACTTTAGTCAGACCACAAAGAAAGCCAGCCCTGGCTCCAGAGGCCCACAGCAGAGAGCCTCCTGACCAGACAGGTGGCCCCAGGCTCCTCCAGCTGGCCACCAGCCAGGGGAGGAGGCCCTTCCGGGACACCTTGGCAGCCTGCGGGCTTGTGCTGGGGCCTCCATGTGACTGGTGGGGGCGGGGTTTGGAAGGTCTGGGCAGAGGAAATGAAAACCAGAGCGCCAAGCCCTGGATTGCTGGCAACATCTGCAAAAGCACTTTCTGCCATCATTCCGTGCCACATCTCTCCCCGTTTTCCTGTTATGCCCACTTTGGTTTTCTGTTCAATTTCACCCTGAATTTCCATGTGTTCAGTTAAAAGAAGTATAATCCTGACTGAAAGATTCTGAATCTAGAAAACTCTGCTCTTAGTCTCCATGTAATGACTCATCCTGGTTTCCTGTGTCTAGTGAGAGGCCTCAGTTCTCACTCAGGAGTTAGGTTCTCAATCACAGCACCCACATCTAACTTCAACATCCTGAATCCCTGAACCCATGACAGGCCAACCCTCGCTGCTGGGTCCTGCTCAGGGGCCAAACTCTGACACCAGACTCAGAACGGCCAGGGCTCCAGAGTCAGCTGGTGGCACTCCTGCACTGAGGTCCTCTTCCTGGCTGCCTCCCAGGGGGAGGCTCTGTGCAGGGGTGGCCCGGGGCTCCCTTGGTGAGAACTGAATTCACAGATGGATTTTGGATGATCCATGGAGCCATTTTTTTATGCCTCTGCCCTTGGTGCCCTTTCCTATGTTTTCAGCCACTTAACTCTATCTTTGAAGCCCTGGCTGAGTGTTACCACCTCCATGGAGCTTTCTGTGAGGCCCAGACTTAAACGACTCCTCCCTCCACTAGGTTTGGATCAACACCTCTGTACCACGCACAGCCCAAGAGATCCTGTCACTTCACACGACGACAACTTGTCATGAAATGCATGTTTCTCAGGAGGTAGAGATAATATTTTTTGAGAGTCCCCAGTGTCCTGTTCAATGTCTGGCATTTAGAAGGTGCTCAATGTCTGTCTATTAAATGAAGCAGGTCAGGAATGAAACAGGAGTAATGAGGAGCCTTGCTCTCATTGCCATAGGAACACAGTCCAGGGCTAGAGGGGTTCATGATGAGGCCTGGGGTTCCAGAGATGCATTCAGTGAGGCTCACACCATATCCCCTTTTGCCTGGAAAAAACTCACTGGGTCCCATCATGCAACCCCGGGCTGAGGAACACGACCAGCCCATCTGATACCAATTTAATGATTACTGTTGATAAAAATAGCATCATGAAGAATGTCTGAATGGTGAGGCACACCAAGACACCCCACCCTTTTCCAATCAGAAGCAAATGGGCAGGTCTCAGTTGTTTCCACATCTGCCCCGCACACTCTCGAGTCGAGTGGGCCTGGGAGTGGGTTTGGGCGATGCTCGGAAAGACGAGCCCTGATGCAAGAGAGACGTTAAGCATAGTGCACTTCGTCCAGCAGAGCCCGCCAGGAACCAAAGGACACATTCCACACCTTTCCCCCACCTTTCCCCTCCAGCTCTGACCATGTATGCCTTCTACTGCATCATTTTTATAATTGATCATATTTATGACTTATTTTAACCACGGGGGCAGAGGAATGAGTCCCTCTGGACTAAGGCTGGGGGAGACGGAGGGTCCACAGAGACTACACTGGACCTGCCTGCCTGTGGGATCCCCAGATTGCCTCCCACAGAGGAGGTGATGAGAGGGCTTCCACCACCCAGGGCCAACAGGGGGAGGGGCAGGGTGAAGTGTTGTCCAAAAAGCTGCAGTGAAGGAGAAGGGTTTTCTCTCCCAGGCTCTGCTTTCCTTTAGAGCTGACAGCCCAAGCGGACAGCTGGGTGGAGAGGCCCCGTGGAGGTTTTCTGTGCCAGTAGCATTGATGCAGTGTAGGTCCTGGAAGAACTTATCATCGGTTGGAAACCCCACTGGGTCTCTGAGCCGAGGAGGGGCCTGGGTGGTGGGAGAGAAGGGACATGGGGCACCTGCCCAGAGGAGATATAAGCCCAGGAGGGTAGTATGGGGTAATTCTGCAGAGAATTTTGAAGGTCTTGCTAAGAGATTGGGGGCCAGTGCTGCCACATACTCTGCACAAATCACTGATTTTCAGAGACTTGAAGTTTAGTAAAGTACACGTTATGGGGTAGTCATACTGGAAGTATTTCATGTTCTTAGTGATTTAAAAGGCACGTGGGTCCTACAGTGCCACAGGCTCATCATCAGGAACATGGGATTGCTCTTCTTCCGGCCACAGTGGAGAAAGATTCTAGAACTGGAGCTCTTTGATGGTGATGACCTCAGATGGATGGACATTAGCGTGATGGCTGTAGTCTCGGCAGCCATCATGTATGCCTAAGTGTCTGCTCAGGGAGGCCCAGGTGAGGTGGCCATGATGCTCACAGACTGATGGCAAAGAGGCAAAGCCAGGCCTGGAAGCCTCGTGGGGCTGCAGGGCTGCCACAGGGTGGGTGAGGCCGTGGGTCCCCTGAGAGGGGCACACAGAAAGGACTCCACAGGCAGCAGCAGTGTGTGACCCCAGACTCCATCTCAGTCCCACTCTCGGCCATCACCACTCTGCTGCTTCAGCCCACGTCCAGCCCCTTGGGGACTGTGCTGACATACCGTTCTCACTCCAGCTTGGGCCCAGCCACAAAGTTAACGAGCACCTTTTTACTTCCTGAAGAGATATCTCCACTTCCTTTTCCCTCTCAGGATTTAGAAAACAGCTTTCTTGTCCGTCGAGCTCCTGCCTCTGAGCACAGGTCACGTGCACTGAAAAGAGCAGGAGCCACGAAGCACCAGTGACTGAACAAACGCTCATCTTGCTAATGAGATTATCATCGATATATTTATTCTCTCGACAAGTATTTATTCATCTTAGGTACTGTGTTGGGCATGTGACAGAGATATAAACTTGAACAAGAAGATCATGGCGTTGATCCTTGCCCTTAAAGAGTTCAAAATCTAGGTGAGGGAGAAGGAAAAGTAAACAGATAATTACAAAGCAGTTGCTGGTTGTTGTAAGGGAGGCATGTGTCCAGCTCTGGGAAACAGGGGGAGGGCCAGCTCCATTGGGAGATGGGGAAGGATTCTGAGGATGAAGCAGCATTTGCCAGGTGGAGAAGTGGAAGATATTAGGTGGAGGGGCCAGAGGAGAGTGGATTAAAAGGGCAACTGGATTAATATGCATGGTTCTGCTACCTGATAGGAATGACCTTTTTGTGACTCAGAAACGAATTTCTTGCAGACCCTATGCTAAGTGCTCTACCAAGTGCTTTGTTACATATTATTCCAGTTAAACTTCTCCATGATCCCTGGTCATAATTTCATTTTGCAGGGGAGGAAACGGAGACTCAGTTAAAGAAATGGTTATAAAGGGGTAAAAATTGGGCAGGTTTTAGAGGAAGGTAGACCTGCTCTTAGATCAGTTTTGCCTGGGAAAAGTATACCTGATGGAGATGGCAGGGGGTGGGCCTCCCAATGACCTGTGGGAACAGATTTACCCATGAGATGAACGTTGTTCCTTTTGCTACAGCACATGTGATGCGATGGGGGAGGAGATGCGTGAACCCATTGCACCTCCGCCCCCCACCATCATGCTGTTGGCTGGGCCTGTCCACTGGACGGTGTGATTTTAGAAATCCAACACCGTCTTCTCCCCGCTACATGTTACCAACAGAGATGAATTCCAACTCCAAGAAGCTTTTATAAAAATGCAAATACTCTGAAAGCATCCACTTTAGGGCTAGCAAAGAAAAATTTGGTGATTTGCTGACAATTAGCTAAAAGGTCCTGCAAAGATGAGACATAGGATGGTGTCTCAGGCTGGTGCCAGAATCGGGGGGATCTGAGCTTGAAAGGGAAGATCAACTGTGCCTTCTTCCCAACTTTGTTTAGTCTGTCAGACTCAATTGCCCATCAGCTTCAGCCATTCCTACTTGCCATGCCCGTTTCTAGCCCTTGCTTGTTTCCTTCTAGTGAATTTCAATCATAAGTACCAGCATTGAAACCCAGAAAATGCAGATGACTCAGAGAAGCCTGTTGGCTTGCTGAATCACAGGACTGCTTAAAACCTAAAGGACAGCAAATAAAACATCACAGGGTAGTATACAATTTCAAACAAAACAAGGCAAAAAACAAAACCTCCAAACCCCCTAAAGGAGAGGAGTTTCTCAATCTCTGTTCCTGAAACACGACATTGCAATTCTGGGTTGTGAGTTGGATGGAAAATATTTCCAAGTCCTGAAGGTGCAACCTCTTCTGGGTTTTGATGCCTAGTAAAGAGCACTTAGGTAGAAAAAATGGTAGTCAACGAGGTGCCCTCAAAAACAGCCTTGGAGTTGGGTTTCTGACAATGCCAGGCATCTGGAGTTCTTAGGGACTGGTCCCTTATGCATTTCTTAATGCTTTTTTTTTTTTTTTTGCCATCCTGAAATTTGGTTCCTTATTTTCCTAAAAATCAGTACTTTTGGAAGCCCTCCCCGCCCCCAACACAGGGTCCCATGGAAACCAAATGGAAAGGAAAAACAGAGGAAGTGGAGAGTTTATGCCGCTGCCTTTGGGCCTGCTGTCTGATTTCCGCTAGTCTGAGGCTCCTGGGCCAGGGCCCATTTTCCTGGCTGCCCCCGAACAACCTACTGCTGCTTAAGCTATTGCTTAAAAATTGACAGGGTAAAATGATGGAGAGTTGTGTTATTCATGCTGAAAAATGATTTTCTAGTCAGAGCCAATAATATATTTTCTTTGGGAAAGACATTTATTTATGTGGTGCCTCAGTTCCCTCTAACTGAAGAAGGAAGGAGAGAAAAAAAGACCAAAAAGGAATGAGGACAAACGAGAGATGGGGTGGATTCCAAGGGAAGAGAGAGTTTGGGACTAAAGACA